AGGAGAATTCAGTTACACAAAGGCATCACCATGAAAGAGCTGGGTCATACAAAGCCTGTGAAACATTTTTTTTTGTTCTGTTTTTCAACCAGAGTGGAAGCATGAAGAGAAATTACAGAAGATACATTACAGAAAAAGAGACATTTTAAGCAAAGCGAAGAAGTGGTTTTGCAGACATTTGCACAATGTGTTGAGCATTTTGGGAGAAGGCCCAAAGGTGTGTGTCTGAGTATTTAACTACTAGATGATGGAAGCATCTGTAGTTGATGTGGGTTTGGATTTAACTGGGAAGAGTAGTAAACTTCTACTCTTGTCAGCCCCAGATGTGAGCCTTCCCTCATGCTGAACACTCCTGAATTTCCAGCATTGCTCTGCAGTTTCTAGTTTAACAGCCCTCAGCAGCACTGCACCTCTTTCTAGTGGTGCAGCATAAGTACCCTTCACTCTCATGAAGCAGGACAGAAGGACAAACAATGAGGATATCTAGTTGTTACCCCGTCAGGTATCAAGGATGCATCCATCTTTGTTAAGATGTCACACTGACATAAAAAAATCAAGAACAAGTTGACATTAACCTGTTTTTTGACTAATACCTACAGAGACATTATTAATATGAATCCACCCTAATTGCTCCTTGGTGATCAGAATGACAGATGTCACAGGATGCTATCTGTGCATACTTCACTGTGCAAGACAAATGAGTTTCTCTGTTGCTACTTGATTTTATAATCATTTGTAAAATGTCTGTTACAATATTTATTATAAAATGTTATAAAGCAATATTAAAACATCATGAGCTAGATCCTGTTGTAGGATGTAGCCATTCAGTTCTGATAAGGAAATCAGGCTTTAATAATAGCATAAGCAGTTCCCAGTAGATAAAGCAAATGCCCATAACTAGAGTGTAAATGCCTTTTCCTCATCCTTCGCTGAAAGAGAAAAAGAAGACATGGCATCAGACCACAACTGATGTTATGCAGCCAGTTGTGTTTTCTTTTAAACTTTTCAAAATTCTCACAAACGGAAAGGAACCATCTCAGAACAGAACATCACTGACTTTGAACCAAAAAGAATGCAGGTAGATATAAGCCAGTTACCTTCCCTGGCTGCAAAATACATATTTGCATATTGGTGCAAATGGTGAGCATACTGTGTGGATTTGAACATTTGAGTACTATGCACAGAGTGAGGTTCAAACAGTGACAAGTGTTTCTTTTGGGCTAACAGTTCAGAAAGGTTTTTTAAGATGAGCTGAATATGGTGAAAAAAACCTTTCCACAAGTATGAGCCCTGGATACCTGTGAACCTGGGAAGAATACTATCTTTCTGCTGTTGCAACAAACCAGAGAAATCTCAGGACTACATACTGTCACCCGACTGATGCTGCTCTGGAATGTACTGCTGTCTCACAGCACCCCACTGCCCGTATATAAAAACTTATGATGCCACAACCACAGCTCAAAGGGAGAGCAAGTGAAACTAGCTGCCAGGGCCACGTGCAACCACTTGGTCTCATGCTGGGAGTCTAACTGTTCAGTGCTGGTCTGTAAAGGGATCCCCCTAACCCTCATATCTGCTTCATCATGAAAAAAGTGTTGAAAAGGTGCATCTTTTAATAGCAGTGGCTATTGTAGTGTACAGCCACACCGAGTTGCCATTCAAATGAAAACAATGGGCAAATTTCATGCAGTACTAAATTGCACCAAAATTAATATTTTGCATTTTCCCAGCATTTCTGCCTCATTATGTTGACTGAAGCTGAGACATTCACCTTGCATTTTAAGTTTAGCCATATAGCCCAAAGAAACTAAAAAGGAAGAAAAAGTCAGCAGAAAGGCATCTGCAGTATTCAAAAGGATGGTAAAAAACTGCTTCATTTCTTTGTGGCTATTTCCCTGGCATGGCATGCAGTTATTTAATCAGGGCACTGTGAGTTCCTGCCGATGGCAATACATGATTCTAAACGAGGCTGTGCACTTGATAATAAGAACTGACCAAAATGCTTGAGTGTTCTGCTTCAGAGCAGACTCCCCAAGACTATATTGTAAAGATTATTTACAGAAAAGGCAATAGCCACACTATTAGAGTTTGTCAATTTTTAAGCATGACTGCATTTACGTGTATGGACTAGGAAAAGCAAGAATTTCTTGGTATGTGGTAAGCAGTCACTTCTAACGTTCTCTGGAAATTTTGTTTTGAATATGAAGTGGAATGCTTCAGTGTTTTGTTGAAGAGAAAATTTTAAACAGTGCTTCATATCCTATATGCAAACCTACTGGAGATCTCTACAGTTGGGTTGTAAGGGCACCAGATCTTCAGCTATGGTCAATCAGCACAACTCCTCTGATAATCTGTACAATAGAAATCTGCATGATATTACACTTAATAGCTAAGAAGTAACTCATCTTCGTGAAAACCAATAAGCAGCAATGCTTTCTATACCACAGGTAGAGAACAGGTTACCCAGAGATGTGGTGGAAACCCTGTCCCTGGACACATTCGAGGCCAGGCTGGAGCAGGCTCTGAGCAGCTGTGCACAGGGGAGCTGTGGATGTCCCCGTTCACTGCAGGGGAGTTGGACTAGATGATCTTTAAAGGTCCCCTCCAACTCTAAGGACTCTATGGTTCTGTGTTAGCAGAGTTCCCTTTTCATTTAACGCATTGAGTGTAAACTAACAACTACCTAAACTTGACATAATCAAGATATTTATTCCCTTATGATATGACTGTGCTCACATATAAAAGCACCAGCCAGGAAACAGCATCACATTGTGCAGACTGTAGTATAGATGCATTACAAGTACTACCTCCAGAAAGATCCTGATTTAAGACACAACAAATGTGCCCTGAAGAGAAAGGGCAGAAACATATGGACTAAAGGACTTCTGCTCTTGTTAATACAGCTACTTAGCATTCCGTATTTAAACCAATATGCAAACACCAAAGGCTAATTGATTGCATTAGTGAAAAAGGCCATGGTGCCTCTTCGGCTTCTTTCCAGACCTTCTGGAGATTCCTGTCATCTTGCCATGCAATTTAGGACCTATGCTGTAAGGAAGCATTAATACAGATCCTAAGATCTGTTTATTTTTAATCAATGCAGATGTTTGACCAGAAGTCAGTGGTAGTATTAAGGCAGGAAAGAGACACAGCTATCATAAACAGCATTTCTACAGCATTTTAAGAAAGTCAAAACCAATGAGCAAACAGAGCAATTACTCAAGTTACAAAGTCCTGATATTAAAAAAAAAAAAAAGTTCTACTTCTCAAAGAACAGACCATGGCCTCTGGATTACTTCTTATTCTATATCTACACTGTTACACGCATACTGAAATATTCCTGTTGAACTGAATTTAATGTGTAGATGGACAGTGCAGCAGCAGAGCACGGTGCAGACCGTGGAAACTTGGTTCCAGTCCTGCCAACAGCGCATTCTGATACCAGGTCAAGCTGTGATTTTGGGTGGAAGCTCAGTGCTGAACACACATTTTTGAGCAGATCGGTTCTCCCACTCAGCCTCCGCACTCCCCTCTGCCAAACAGATGATCTTTTTGTCCAAAGCTTGCAAAATGTAACCCTTCTGTTACCTCCAGGTGCCAGTTTTTGTTATGACAAGAACTACACCCTGCTTGTGATCTGATTGAAACTGAAACAGACGTGTATGAGAACAAGAAAGAAGTCTGTATGTCAGAGGACCTGCAGAACTGTTGTACACATCTGAGTCAATCAGCTCAGGCAGTAGAGACTTTACTCTTCAATTCCATTTTAGAAAGTGTGGATTTATTCATTCCTGAACCTATGCCAGGCACTGCAACAAAACCAACACTGCAGCTGAAGCATAGGAGTGGAAGAGTTCCACCTCTGCCACCAGCATATGGACAGCAGTAACATATTCATGAAAAACTGAAGGCAAAGGTAAAGCACAATTCCAGAACACAGCAGTATCTGAAAACTTTGAGCACAGCAGAAGTGTTGGCAAAAATCTGCTACCACAGTTCTGCAAAGCTCTAGAATGTTAAGAGGCTTCCAGGCAAGTCTTTATGATGCACATCAGATGGATGGTGAGTTCAAGAGCATCAGCAACCCCAGCAGCAGCCAAGACTAAGATATCAGCACATACACACAAAGCTCTTTTTCCAGTAGCATGCTCAAGCTTAGACAGTATTTTTCTTTATAGCAGCTCAGAGCTTTTTGCAACATTTATCAAGATTTCTTGCTTCAGTGGTTACCTTGAGGATTAGAAGGGGCTTGTGGGCTTACTGTTTTGTAAAGAAGATGATAGTTTTGTCAGTAAGAGAATAACCCTTGGGATCTCAGGGAAGACAAGGTCCTGGTGAGAACTTGAATTGACAGTTGTTCATCTTTTTAGTTCGTCTTTCCATCGACGCTTTGGGAATGTTATGTCAATGGTTGCTTTCTGGATTACAATTTCGAGAAAGCTGCTCCACCACAGAACATTTGTTGAGCTCATAAACACAGCACAGTCACTGAAAAAGTGCACAAAGTGCTGTGCCGCGGCACCTTTTGCCAGAGATAATCAAAGGGATTCATGCGGCTGTCACTTGTGCCTTTAAACGGGAAGCACGTTAAAGACTGTCAGCATTTATGAAAAGCCGTATACGAAATCCACTTGATGAGGGAGAGCTGAGGTCCAAGTCGCTCATCCTCGGGTAGAGCGCACAGCCCACCTCGCAGGGAGACACTCGAGAACCGCACACCGCACCGACACGGCTCTGCCTTCCTGCCCCTCGACAGAGGAACGCTCTTTTGTCTCCAGCAGCTTTCGGGCTCGAGCCTCACAGGGCACAGCCCTCGCACGGACCTCCCGAGCAACGCGGTGGCTTCTCCCTGCTAACCAAGAGTGCACCCAGCACCAGACCGGGACCGGGCGGCACTGAAGGGCCGGCCCGCACAGCACCGCACCGCACCGCACCGCAGCCGGCCCCCGGCGCCCAGGGCTGCCCCAGCCAGCGGGACCCCCACCCGCGCCCACACTCACTTCTCCCCAGCGCCTCCGCCTTCCACTCCGTCTCCTCCACTGCCCCGTAGCGTCTCATGGGTCTCTCGGCCTCCGCGCTGGCCGAGATGGATCTCCTCAGCTCCATGGCCGGGCCGGGCGGCGCGGGGCTCCCCGCCTCCTTCACTCCATGCCGGCAGGGCTGCGGCCCGGCTGCCGCGGGGACGGCGCGGAGCTGCGGCTCCTCCGTGCGGAGCGGGTGCCCGCGGGCGGGGCGAGGAAGGGGCGCCGCGCACATGCTCAGTGCGGGGCTGGGTGGGGGGAGGCCGGGGAACAAAGCGAGCGGAGCCCCGCGGCCGCCCCCGGCATCGTGCGGCGCGTTGCGGTTACCCGGCGGAGTCCACGGGTCGGTCCTGTCCCCGTAGCTGCTCGGGCGGCCCGACCTGCGTGGCGCTGCTGCCGCGCGGGTGTTGGCACAGCTCCGCATCTGCCGTGCGCGCTCCTGTGGCATCGGCGAAGCCAGCCGGAGTCCGGGAGGACTGTTTTGGCGGCCACCGCAGCGCCGAGCACATCGTCGGGCCTGGGCGGCTCAGCGGTACGGGTCAGCTCCACGACCACGTCCGGCTTTTGCAGCCGAGCGTATCTCAGGTGGCTGTGCACACATCTTTTGGATTTCCTGACGGTCCCGCACCAAATGGCCTAACACTCATTGCAGCATCCTGGTACCTAAAGCAGCACAGCAAACAAGTGATATGATTCTGGATTTCTCAGGTGTATTTTCCATAAACACACACCTTTGCCGTTTATACAACCTACTGGGATTAGAAGAGAAGGAAATGACTATGTAAGAAGCACAAAAGGGGTGATAATAATAATAACTGTTATTATTTACTTTCATTGGGGGCGGGGGGGAGAGAGATTTTGTGAACAAAGCCCCTTGAACAGCATTTTGCATTATCTTTCCTAGTGAAATCCCATCGCACTTTATTGTGTGTGGTATCATTCTGATGTAGATGATGAAGCAAGAGTTGGGGAGGTTGCCCAGGCTATGAGCAATGAGGCATGGATAATGATGAATGCACCTGGGGTGCGTGAAAGAAAGCTTGTGTGTCACATGCCTTTGCCTGGAACCTTTGCCTTGCCCTTCAACTCTCAATGCTACGAAAGTGCTACAGTGACATTTAGTGATGCTCTTACTAATTGGACTGACGCACATTGCTGCTATACTCATAAACAGTATTGTTTGGGAGTTTGTTACATGTTGGAGGAGAGAAAACCTCCACATCAGTTTTAAAACAGTAACACTGATTTTTTTTTTCCTGATAACTGAAATTGTTACCTAATTGGGTTGCACTACCAGAAGACTGCAAGGAGGCATCCCTGGAGCCTTCTCTTCTTTAAGCTTAACAAGCCTAACCTTCTTTGTAAGAGGTACTCCAGCCCTTTCATCACCTTTGTGACCCTCCTCTGGTCTAACTCCAAAACTCTACTTCTTTCCTGACTCGGGGGCCTCAGGCCTGGATGTCATACTGCAGGTGGGACCTCACAAGGGCAGATTAGAGGACAGTCACTTCCCTTGCTCTCCTGGCCACTCCTTTGCTGAGAGCCAGGATACTGTTTGCCTTTTGGGCAGCAAGAGTACACTGCTGGCTCGTGTCTGGCTTTTTATCCACCCAGAGAAGCTGTGGGTGCCCCATACATGGAGGTGTTCAAGGGCAGGTTGGATGGGGCCCTGGGCAGCCTGAGCTGGTGGGGTGCAGCCCTGTCTACAACAGCAGGTTGGAACTAGATGATTTTTAAGATCTCTTCCAATCTAAGTCATTCCCCCTGCTCCCTGCACTGGTGAGGCCGCACTTCGAGTACTGTGTTCAGTTTTGGGCCCCTCACTACAAAAAAGACATTGAGGCCCTGGAGCGTGTCCAGAGAAGGGCAACAAAACTGGTGAGGGGTCTGGAGCACAAATCTTACGAGGAGCGGCTGAGGGAGCTGGGATTGTTCAGTCTGGAGAAGAGGAGGCTCAGGGGAGACCTCACTGCACTTTACAACTTCCTGAAGGGAGGCTGTGAAGAGTGATTTGGTCTCTTCTCCCAGGCAACAAACAGGACCGGAGGAAATGGCCGCAAGTTGTACCAGAGGAGGTTTAGGTTAGAAGTAAGGAAGAACTTTTTCTCTCAGAGAGTGGTCAGGCACTGGAATGGCTGCCCAGAGAAGTGGTGGAGTCGCCGTCCTTGGCAGTGTTCAAGAGGCGTCTGGATGAGGAGCTACAGATATGGCTTAGTGCTTGTGGTAGCAATGGTGATGGGAGGCAGTTGGACTAGATGATCTTATAGGTCGTTTCCAACTTTGCGATTCTATGATTTTATGATTTTAGAAGGTCCTCTGAGTGCTGTGATTTCTCCTCTTTTTCTCACTCTGCTCCACAGGGATTTGCAGTGATATGAGCACCAGACATGGTGAGGAGCTCCTGTGGACTGCACAACGCTTCATACTCACTGGGTTTGCCCTTTAGAGATAGAGCCCAAACAAAGCTGTGAGTCAAGCAGGAAAGCTGGTGGCAGCACGCTGCACAGCTGATTTTGGGTGACAGTACAGCTGCTTGCTGGGGTGGGCTGGACTGAGTCACTTGTAGAAGAGAGGAATACAAGTGTGGGAGGAAGAGCCCATCTGGGATCTGGGTGAGAGTTGGACAAAGGGAAACAGGCTGAACAGGGAAAAGGGCCAAGTTTGGGTGGATCTGAGGCCTATTCAGCTTCAATCCATTCCTTCGGTGTTTTAGATTATTATAATCCAAGTGATTTGTTTAGGAGAGGGAGGAATGATCCTAAAGATAATAGAATATTTAAAGCTCTGCATTTGTTATTATGGGTGAAAAACACTCACTGATTAGTAAATGGGATGCACAGAGTTCCTTACAATCAAGCAAAGAATGTATGAAGTGATTCATGGTAACTGGAACGTTTTTACCTGCCCCTTTTGAAATAGTCACAAAATCCAGAAAAATCCCAGTACTACAGGTGTGAGCAGGTATGAGGAACAGTCCCACAGAGTCCATTTGCACAGAGGTTTTTGCAAGACTAGAGCCAAAGTACAAACCAATTATTTTGCTAATGTTCTACAATTAGTGTTTTCACTGTTGCAACTTCAGAGCATTTTCCCTACTGCATTTGCAAGTGGTATTCAATTTTTCTCCTACTGAAGGAGCTTGCAGTGTACCCAGCAGTACACATGCATTTCTCCAGTTGCAAAAGATGGTGTTCTTCTACTGAAACCCCTTTTAAGGAAGAAAACATAAAAATTCAGATCCCTTCTGACTGCTCAGTGGATAATGCCTCGTAGAAAAACAGAGTTGCACTTTACTCTGGCGGTCATTTCCTCTGACTGCTTTTGTTTCATTCCCATTTCTCAATGTTAAGTCCTGCCACTGGGAGCTGTAGCTGGTCAGCAGCAGTTGGCAAACCCATTCACCTGTCTACTGCTCTTCTGGCCTCCACTATGCATCACTGATGGCCCGTGGCAGACACAACACTATAAATAACAGGCACACTTTACTTGGGCAGAATTCTTAATGGCACCATGACTTGTAAATCCAGTGGGGAGAAAACTCTCCTTTCATGGAGCTTTTCAAGCACATGGGATTACTCAAACTGAAGTTCTCAGATTTCCCTTGCCTTTAAGGGCACATCTAATACTCCAAAAGGTTCTCAAGAGGTGCTTTGAGAGTAAAGAAAGAAGTCAGGGTCATTTTTCTTTGTCAGATAGTACTGTCATTCTAAAACAAAAGTAACTTTAAATGTTAAAATTCTGCCAAGGTTTTCTTATTTCTCATTACAATCAAAACCTGCAACTCTGCAGATGAAACAAAATGAAATTAAGTGGATTATGCACAGTTGCTTCGTAGGCACAATCTCCCAGATCCATGATTACCAGGACAGAAGTGTGGGACTTCTGTGAATCTGTCCTATAACATTTCTTAAGCACTAAGACTTGTTTAAAAGCATCTCTGTGTTGGAGAAGTTACCACAGTTCTATGGTATGTGATGCCATGGTTAATCTTGTTTCCCTGTGAAAATGCCTCCTCTTCAATCTTCATCCCTCAGCTTTTAGGATTCTCCTAGTTCCCAGTCCTTAGCATTTCCCCAGTTATTCCTGGTACACTGTGCAGCCTCTGACCCCACATCCCACGGGCTGTGTCAGCAATGCGTAGGAGCTCCAGGAGGCCATCAGCCTGCACGAGTTCACACTGCTGTGCTGCAGCCCCTACATCACCTCCAGATACCACTTGTCAGGCATGCAAGGCATGAAAATTCCCTGGTGCAAAGCTGAGGGCACTACAGGAAAATGCCTACCTGTTGGAAAACCTGATGGTCAAACAGATTTTAGAAGGCATACACTTAATTTCCTGATGCTTCCTTTCCAAAATCACTGCCACGTGTCGCACAGACAGGGTGACCACTCAGGGTGACAAAACTGCACTCAGCCCAGCTGTCACCAAGAAATGAGGATTTGTGCAGCTGTGGCTTTGGCTATATCAGGAGATAGAACTACCATGTGTGCTGTCCTGGGAGCTGGAGCCATAAATCTGTACCTTATAGATCAGTTTTTCCCAAATTGTTATGACCAGTCTATATAGACAGCTTTACATTTACATTTCTTGTATTTTAACATGAGTGTCCCAGCCTGTGCCACAAGGCAATTTGAGCTTGTCTGAGTAAAAGCGACCCTATTGCACCAAGGCTTGGAATTATCACAAAATCAGGTACGTGTTGTTCTTTGTGTATTTCTTAACACTTCCATGATCGGTCTCCCTAGAAGGTCAAAGTAGACCTCATTTGCTTTTCAAAGAGTGACAATTAAATACAACCCTAATTAAAAACAGAGGGAAATAAGATGCATAGCTAAGATTTACAGGAGTATCCTTAACACAGAAGATACCTTCTTGCTATAATTTCCATCTTCAATTCGGTACTAAGATGAAAGAGTTCTTGGAAGCCATGACTCTGCCATTCTGCACTTGAAAGAGAATCTGCTGCAGCACAGCCTTTCCAGAACGAGGGCCTGGACTGAAAAGCCAGTGCAAATTTTTTTTATGTTGTTCCCTTTTCCATGAATCCTGGGCTCATGGTTAGTGTCCCTTGTACACTTATTTATTTTAGA